CCCACATCACACATGGGACCCCCTTGGCCTCCGAATTTTCATGATTCTCTGATCCTGTACATAGAGCAAGAGGCACTGAGGAAACCAAAAAACGCTGGGAAAGGACCAACTAACGGCAACAGGAAATCCGAGTCTGCAGCGCCATCTAGTCCACGCTACGGACACCCCTCTGCACGGTTTGTCTCCAGCACTCTGGAGAGTCTCCCTCTTTTTATTTTTTTAAAGTATAATTACCAGAGCTTATGTTTCACAGTTAATGCTGTCAAGCCTTTTAAACTAATTGGTCTTTTATAGAAAATTTAACTGAAAATTAACACATCTTTTAATAACATTGCCTTAACTTTAATGGCACTTTGCCTTTCGTTTATAATTGCTCTAAAATTGTCATTTTCCATGTCATAGCTGCCATTTTTTATATTTCCTAGTTTTCATGGTGTAGATTTTTATTTTTAGTATTTTCTTCCATGAGGGATGAGACCTATTTGATTTTTTTCCACGCTGGGCCTGCCAGGCCGGATGTCCCAGCAGTGGCATATTCTGAGCCCCACAGAACACAGCACTGAGTGCCATGCTGATGCCAACGTGGCTCTGTGCTTGGGATGGAGGAATGATGTGTTTATTACCTTACTTCACATGGCACTGGCTTCGCATGGGCTAACCGAGAACTTGGTTTCCTCCATAACACAGTGCAGGGGTTTGGCCTTTTATGCAAAGACAACTAAGAGGGTAGATCATGTTCGTCCATCTTCCCAAGGTCACATTTGCCAATGTCATCATAAGGATGCTGGCAGTGTCCAAAAGAAGGTGCATCCTCTAAGCAAGACTGAAATGTCTAAGCCTAGACTTAAAACTTGACCAGATGTGGTCTTTGAACACGGATACATGGTGTGGCTGATGGCCTTGCCCGGCTGACTGCTTCTTGTACGTCCCTCTCCCATGTCTATCATGTTCCAACCATGATCGTCTTCATCTACTTCCTCACCAAACCTAGTTCAGCACTACTTTCCAGCCCTTGCTCTTTCTTTTGTCTGGGAAAGGTAGTCACCCTCACTCTTCTTCTGATTTTTCAGTGTCAGTTTCAAAGTTACTGCCTCAGACAGCTTGACTCTGATCACTTTGGCTATGACAGGTCTCCATACCCATTCACAGTACTTCACATGCTTCCGATCAGCTATCCCCACCTGGCAGTCCTCATTCACTTACATAGTTACTGTTACTGACATAGCTACTGCCCACTAGAATGAAGGTTCAAACAACACGAGGGCAGGGTCTCCATCTGTCTTCTTCACTGCCAAATCCCCAGTATGGAAAATAGTGCCTGGCATTTAGTAAGTGCCCCAAAATATATTGATTAATATCAATAAGTACATATAGAGCTTGTCATGTGCTAAGTTCTGCACTAATCGCTTTACAATCTTAACTCATTTAGTCATCTCAATGATCCTATGACGTAGGTACTATCATGACCTCATTTTAAAGACCAAGGCACAGAGAGGATAAGGTAATAGAGACAGTAAATGGGGATGCTGGGATTTGCATCCAAGCAGTTTGGCCCTTGAGTCCATGCCTGCTCTTGCTAGGGAGGGTCCTGGTGGAACTTAAATTGAAGGTGAGGGTAGGGGAATATGATAGGTGTGTGGCCAAAAATCTGAATCCTCAGGTGCCTGTTTCAGCTCTAACTACAGACAGGCTTTTTTCATTGGTGTATGTGTGTGAGCAGCAAGCTGGTATTCTTCAAAACACATTGTTTAGTTGTGATCGCCTTAGAGGTATATACCCATAAGTACAATTATTCCCTCTTGTCACGTGTTTCTGCTGTTGATTTGCAGGAGAAAGCCATGAGGCCATGCCAGGAACATCTCTATCTGTTCCAGGATTGCCTGTGATGAATCAAAACATTATTTTTTTTAACAGATGAAGCAGTAAGCAGCAGGAGTTGAATTATAAAGGACAATGTTCAGGGAATGTTTAGACATGTGACTAAATGGCAATTCAGGGAGGAGTGCTAGAAAGAGGAGATCATCAACATCTAAGGAGGTGTGTGTATGTGTGGATGTAGTGATGTTGCTTGTGAGTGAAGGCCTGAGATGGAAGCTCCCCATTGGCTCCCGCTGCTTGGGGGGGGGGGTCTCACTTTCTCAGTTTATATTTCTGCCCCCTCTTTTAGTTCCTCCTAATTACTGCCTTGGTCCTTGACTACCTCCTTTTTTATTAAATACATGTAGGATTGGGGATTGCAAAGAAATCACATGTAAGATTTTACCAGAAGGTATAGATTCAATTGGATCTGTTGAACCAGACCCAGTTCAAGACCTCACTGTGAGAGCTGCTCATCCTAGGCAATGATAACGAGGCCTGGAATTGGATAAGCATTTTGGTTAAAGATTTGAAAAGTTACTATCAGTGGATCAGTTAAATATGTGTCTTGCTTCAACACTTAGACTGAGTTTATTCACGTTATTGCCCAAAAGATCAGATACTATAGCTGAAGAGCCTCTCACAGTTCCAGGCCCCTAATCAATGCTGCTGCTGCTGATAATCATAATGACGGTCACTAGATTCCTGACACTCTTTTCTCCCAGGCTGGAATTCAGAAGAAAAGCTGCACACAGACCTGTATTCGCACACACCTTAGCTATCCTGTCCCAAACATTTTGGTTACATTTCAAAGGAGATGAGAGATGGCTTTAAAAAATTCAAACCAACTCAGTCTGATTTCTCATCCGAGTTTCCAAGAGCTGACTCCCTCATGCTACTGCAGACAGATAACCGTGCAACTCGAATCCAGATGTGCCCTCCCAGTCTTCCCCTCATGGCCACCATGCATCCCATTGGCCATAGAGAGCTGACATTCTCTGGTGCTCAAAACCAGTTTTATTCCTTGGAACCAGGGCTGGCTTTGTGGGTCTCTGCCCTGTGCCAAGTCGCCCAAGGCCCATGCTCAGGAGGACCCCTCACTTGGACCCCTCACATGCTCAGTTGCCACCCTTTCAAAATTCTCTGTAATTTATGAAAAAGTGGCCCTAAAATTATGTAGCTGGTCCCTGCCTGGAATATGCTGAATGCCTGATATTGTGCAAACATAAATAATTTTATAAATTTCAGTTAAAATTTAATAATGTATTTGCAATATTGAAAACTAGATTATAAACAGTTTAATATCTCTTAGTGAGGAGAGCCTTCTGTAACCTCTCTGATTCGGACCAGAAGTAAAGTGAAATTTTTAAAGAGATGAATTACAGAACTCTGTTGGAAACTATATTTGGAGACTCTGAGGGCCATTTTAAAAAAATATGTCAGGATAACAAGTATATCCTCTAGCTTCTATCATTCCTTTCAGCCTCGTTAAGGAGTTTGCCCAAACTGAGCCCTCCCTCTCTAGCATCCTCGGGCCATCAGGAAGATCACAAGACCCGGGAAACCAAAAGGAGCCTTCCTTAGGGACCACTGACTTTCCTTCTTGGCTTGGGAAGAAATGGTTATGGCGTGGAGCCCAGTTAGCCTTAATTAAGATGAATGTTGTTTCCTAATTATTTTTAAATCCATAATCCTGATTTTTAACTAAGATATACTTGCAGTTGGACCACATTCAGAAATATGGAATAACCTAAATTAGTCTTTAAAAGCTTTATGTTTTTTCTTTCTTCAAATAGAATTCCTTTTGGGATTTTACTTAATGAATAGATGAGAATAATGCATAATTAGCATATCAATTGTTGTTTAACACATTCAGGAGAATAGCCTTCTGAAGCTCTTTAAGAAATGTACATGTATAAAACTCTCTGAGCTATGTTTATGATTTTAATGTGGTCAATAAAACTCTTTTCCATGGATTCTCCAAAAGTCAGTATTTATCCAGCCTATGTCTGTATTTTCAAAAGCTGTGAACTTGAGAATTCCAAATTGAAGAGGCTTTTCTACACAACAAATAAAGACACTCAGTAAGCACACATCACAGTGCCCTGGTTATGACCCATTCTAGTATCTGCTTTTGCCTTTTATAGTTCAGGATGGCTCCTTTAAACTGGGAGCTACTTTTTAATTGCTCTTTGTTTTGGGTCTCAAAAGTGAAAAAGAAATGCACATCAAGTTACAGAAGAAATCAAAGATGCTTTTGATCCTTTGGCTACCACTCAAATCCTCCCCTGCAGCAAAGAACAGGCCAGGCCTGGCCCTCATGCCTGGTCCTCTCCCAGGACCCATGTCTCAGTGACTGGCAGTGACCTAGAATTACCTTTGACACTTCATTCTCTTTCACCTTCGGCTCATACACAGTCTATTTCCAAGTCCTTTCAATTTTACTGGCAAACACCACACAAATCCACCCACCTCCCACCCCCTGTGCAGCTCTCTCCTAGTCTGAGCTAGAGAGCCTCTTACTCAGACTTCTGGCTGTCCTCTTGCCTCCGGAAACCGACCTTCACACCCCAGCCAAGGCGCTCCTAGAACATAAACCTGATCACAACACTTTCCAGCTCAAAACGCTTCAATGCCTCCTCATTACTCTAAAGAAAAAGAGCAAAACCATGAAAATGTGTTGGAGGCCTTTCGGTCCGACCTTGCTCCTCCCCGCTCTTCCCTCCGTCACTCAGGCCCAGGCCCACAGGCTTTGTCCAGCTTCCTTCAGACTGTCAGGTTCCACCCCTTCCACAGGCCTTTTTTATTTGCTTTCCTTCTTCCAGGGATGCTTTTCTCCACAAAATCTGCCCTCTTTAGTGCTCAGGTTTTTACATTTAATGTGTATGATGTTTTTATGGAATCTCCCTCTGATCTGGGGACCAGGTCAAGTGCTCACCTATATTTATTCACAGCCTTCCTTGCACCTTTAAGAATTTATAATCCAATGTTTATTTGTGTGATAGTTTGATGCACATTGGTATCCCCCTCCAGACTGTGAGCTTTGCCTGGTCACGCCCCCCACTGTAGCTCAAGCTCCAGCCCCATATGCCTCTCCCGTGGGAGGCTGGAGGAGCTCCACTCCCCATCCTGCACCCACTCACCGCGCTCATGAGTGAGTCCAGGACGCTGACGGCAAATGCTGTCCCGCATGCAAACGGCTGCGTGAGGTACAGTTCTGTGTCGGGGTCATCGTCATCGTCTTGGTCCAAAAACTGAACATTAGTATCGTTCACTAGAAAAAGCATAAAATAAGAATTAGCTCAAAATACCAAACACAGGCAGCGAAGCCAGAGAAAGAGCAGGCTGCTGGTTTAGAAACACTGAAGTCACTGAAAAGGAGAGAAAAGCATGGGAGAAGCCAGGGATGGGTCTGGGGGTGGGGGCCAGTGGGACTCAATGGACTGCTCCTATGTGATTATTCAAGTTTCCAAGACCCAGAGTGCAATAACTTCAAGCAGGCTTGCCCCATGGCAGGCCACGGGAGGACTAGGAGACAGTGCTGGTCAGTCCTTTGGTATAGTTTTAGAATCATGACCCTGAAAAACACCTTAAAGTGTTTTTTTGGTAGCCAAGTCCTTTGAGAGAGACATATTTCAAGGATGAGTAGCCACAATTAGCCATGCTGGTTTAGCCACAAGGAAAAGAAAGCAATTTATCGAGAGTGAAGAGCAACTGACTGGGAGCACAGCAGAGGCAAAGAGCAAGGAATTCACCCACAGGCACAGCCCACACCCTGCCTGGGGATTGGCCTGGGGAGTGGTGGGGTCCCCAGCCCTAATTCTGGGCCCACACCAACAGGCCCTGGTTATTAGAAAGGTGACCCCATGTGGGATGTCTTCCGGGCTGTCTCCAGCTGTTTGCTGACAAAGACTTGCTCTGCATCCCAAGGTGCATGGGGATGTCCACGTTCTCCCCTTCCTCTTCTGAATAGCTCAGTCTTCTCTATGCTTCACCTTAAGCAGATGCAACATTTGATGCTGTGCTTGTTTCCATCTGAGGATTCCTCAATGGACGCCTCTGGCACACATGTGCAGACTGATTGTATCACTGAGATGTCTTTAACTTATTAAAAATTAAATGACAAATTAATTTCCATTCTGCTCTTGACTTCAGAAATGATCAGCTTTGCAGAGCAAGTAATGGGTGGGGGAAGTGTGTGGCTGGGGAGAAATAAGTGCTCATGATTTCTGGAATAATTATCATGCTTTTAGAAAAAGAATAGATGAAGTTCCCTTTTTTCCTGATCCCTTTCTAGATGTATCAGCAGCGAATTCTCTTTCTTGGAGTTAGTGTTTTAATTTTTTTTCCAAAAGTAACTTTTTGGATGATGCTTTTTCTAACTTTTGCTTGTTTATTATGTGAGGCAGAATAAATGATAGTAGGATAAAAAGCTAGACCTGGAATTATTTTTAAATGACACTTTCCCTAGAGAAAGATTCAAATGGGGAGGAATCTTTATTCTCCCAAAGTTGATCATGTCTGGGTCCCCGCCACTGTCCCAGCAGCACTTGCATCACAGGCTGGGGGGCGAAAGTGCAAAATGCAGGATATGACACTAACGCCCTAGGGCAAAGCACTTCTCCACTGCACACCTTAGTTTCTCCCTCTCTGCAGGATGGGGGAGAGAAAAGCAGCTCTTGTGAGGTTGTCAGGACACTCCTATGAGATTGTTCTTGGTGAGCCTGACCCTGAACTTGATGCTAGCTGCTCTCAGGATTGCCTTTCTGACATTAAATGTTCTGTGCACCCACTATATTATAGTAATTCCCAGCCTCCTTCCACCCCTCTCTGAGGCCCATAAAGCCTTCCTCGGGGATCCTACTAGCGTCAACTTGTATCTTTTCCCTCCTCCATCCACTTATGCAAAACCATGCCGTGGGCCACAGTTTAGTCTTCCTGCTTTGTGAGCCAGAACAGCATGTAGAGGATGTGGTTTTAATCATCTGTAATAGCCGAGGAAGCCCTGTGCATTGGCATTCCAAAATGAGAAGCATCTGTTACCCCTTTTCAAGATGATGAGGAAGGGTTGGTGCTAGACTTCAAGGGGAAGTAGCCCCAAGTAGGGAGAGATAATTCTAGATTTTCAGTGAGCTAGGGATCGGTCTGAGTCACTGGGAACAAACTCCAGGGCATAAGCCAGGGTTCAGTGAAGATCCTGTGTGTTGTGTGCTGTGTGGGGTCATTCAGTCTCAGAAGGACAGCAGCCAGTGTTACTCTAATCCTACTTCAAAGAGCAGTCATTATTGGGTGCTAAGAGGTGATTAAAACAATCACCCCAATATGTATGAGGTCAAATATAACTGGGAAACAGGCAGGTTGAACACCTTTAAAGATTTTTCTTCTTATGGGACTTCTAGGGGTCTTTGACCCACAGACATCCATTGGGACTCTCCAAATAGATGAAGACTAGAATATACTAAACAGTTTAAAAGACCTATTTGACCTCAGCATCCTCTGTGACTTTTCAAAAGGCATCTTATTCACTTGGCATAACACAGAATACATCTCGGAACATGCAGTAGGTAAATAGTAAATATTGTGGGGACGCAGAGAGGGGATGCAGTCAGAGGACAATGGTATGATTGCCAAAGAGGGTCTGACCTCTAGAAAAAATGGACTTAAGACAGAAGGTAAAGGTGATGGGAACACACGGGAACATGGAAGGTTCTCTGAGCTAATGGAAGACATTAGCTTCCATAATTGGAGACATGACCCTCTGGTGAGAGACAGAAACTTCAAGAGATTCAAGGATGCTCATCAAATGCCTGAACTGTTGGGTCTGATTTGGGGCTCCAAGCCTGTTCTTTTCTCTTCTACTAATCAAGATATCTTAGCTAGCGGGCAGCACATGAATCCCAGACAGAAAAAGAAATCCCTGGCACTGATGATTCTGAAATGCTCCTGAACATTCCTGAGATGGAGACATTAGAATGGATTTTTCAAGCATAGGTCTGGGCTGCATAAGCTCCCGGGGTCTCCTACAACACTAAGGTTCTGAGGAGAGCAGTCCCGAAACCTAGGCTTTTAGCCAACTTCCCTAAACATGAAAAAAACCCACCTCTTCTACTGCTGGAAACAAAAAATAGTGTAATACTCCTTGACCTGAGTGAATCTGTCCTGATAAATAGCTAGGTCTACAATAATGCAGTGCTGAGTGGTGGACAATTTATTCCTTAGTTTCTAGACACCTCGCAAGCAAGATTACTGTGTTAAAAGCTGCTCTCTTATTTTGAAATATATTTTGGGGCCTAGAAAATGGCATGTTAGTTTCATTTGTAAGTCATTCGAAGGCAGGTGCTTCCTACTTCTCTATCCACCCCTCTGCCAAGCAGCACTCTCACTGTCTCTATTTAGAAGATCAATCCCTGGGTCTGAGACCTGCCGCTGATGGGTGCCTTTCATGGAGTTATTAACCAAGTTGTGAAGAATTGTGGAAGGTCTTGACAAATGCAGTCATGACCAAGCCCTTCATCTTCCTGATTGAGTCTACTCCGAATGTCCTCAAGAAGGCTCTGGGCCAGTAGGGCGGGGGTCAGAGCTCAGAGATGTGCCCCAGTGGCTGCTAACCTCATCCTTGGCACCATTCCTGAAATCTGACTTTGGAAAGAAAAGGTCCTCTAGGAGCTGGGTGCTTTTATGGCTTCAGAACCAGAGCTTCTGAGAAAAGGGCCTAGTACCAAAAAAATAAGGCAAATAAAGTCAGAATAAAGGAAAATAAACAGCTGGAGGGAAGGCACCGTCTTAGGTTTCTTATCTTAAAATTTTTATATTTCTCCTTTGACTTCCTCTGAGAGTTGCGAAGACATGTCAGTCAAACTGACAGTATGTTGGAAGAGGAATATAAGGGAGAAGGCGGGAGGGCAGGGGAACACATGGAAAAGGAAAAAAAAAGGGGGGGCCCAGGCCAAAGAAAATGAATTAGAGAAAAGATGCTTTGAAAACAACTGCCAGGTCAGATGGGTGTGATCAAAGGTTTACTGATGCTGTGTGGGGGAAAAAAAATCATTAAGAAAGGCCAGAACAAGACAGTCGATTCCAACCAGAGCCACAAATAAAACACATTCAAAGCAGTGCCATGGGGTAGCCGTTCTGTTACAGCCAGTGAAATAAAAAACAAGCTGATGATGGTTGGAAACACCAACAAGAGAACAAAAGGAGACACTGATGTGAAGGAAAACAGTGCTTCTTACCCAGTTCAGTTATCATTAGAATGTGCGTCCCACTGTTTTTTTCCTGATTGACTGATACCAAAGGCAACTTGCCAGGTTTAGCTAATTGGATACAGCATTTAAGGGTTAGGGAAAGGGAGTGGAGGAAAGTACAGAAAAAGAAAAGAGTGAGGGAATAACAGAGGAAACATTCTAAAGTAAAGGCACCCAAGACCTGGATCTCAGGTAGGTAATATTTGTCTTGGGGGGGGTGGTGGTGGTGGTGACCACTTGGCAGTTGTGCAAATTCATTAAGTAGAAGCAGGGGGTGTCACTGCCAGGTTAAAAGTTCAGTTCCAACAATCATGGTCCTCAAAACCCCATCATTTTTGGGGGGCCCAGGTAGCATTCACTGAAAATGGCCTTTGTCTCAGCAGTTCTCTTAGGGTAGATTAAATGTAGAGTTACTAGCTCAATGCTTCTCTCCAGTTCTCAAAATGAGGTTGGCTGAGTGAGAGCTGAAGCTTTTCACCTCAGTGGAGGGTTCTGATTTTAGGAGCTGTCCAGAGGTGCTTCAGTGAAAATTACCAAGTGTTCTTGGACTATGCCTTTCCTCCCTTCCTCCCCCTTCCCTAATTTATGCCCCAATTTTGAATCCATCATCTCATATTCCTTGGAAGCAGTGACCAGCATGAAGGAACTATCTATTCATCTCAGAGGAAAGCTAGATCAGTTTTCCCTTTGGTAATCTGATATTTCTGTGCATGCCTTTCTTCACTCTCCTTCCAATCAAACCCTACTAGAGTTTACTATGCTAAAGGAGCTAAAAAAACAGGCCAACTTCCTCATATCCGACATGATTGGAAAAGAGAACCAAAAAATCTGCCCAAAGCCAACATTCACCCCTACCTAATTCAGTGATGATGGGGATGTTGACCCCAGTCGTGATGGATGGCTGACGTAACATCCCGTGTACTGGGCTGTTATCTGGAGAGGATCTGTCCATTCCTGGAGGTGTGAACCCTAGTGGGAAGTAAAAAGAGAAGGGAGAAAAATCATAAGTGTGGACAATTTGGAAATAATGAGAGTTCAGGGTATATACAGAAGCCAAAAAAAAAGCTTATGCATTATTTACAGATCAACAATTAGCACTTCCAGGATAAACTCTGATGAGCTGTTGTTTTGAAAGAAGAAAGTAGGAGACTATTATAAATAATTCTAACCCACTTTGATAGTTTCCTAAAAACTGGTCTCTGTAACAATGATTGACCTTGATCGCACTCAGATTTTTGTTCCCTTCTCCATGTGGGCACACCTGAGAATTATACCTAAGTGCCTCCTTGAAGTGAGATATATCAATGCAATGTAGGAAATGTTCTAGCCCATGAAACATGAACAGAACCATGCCTATCATCACTTCCGGCACAAGCATTTGACCCACCGCCTGTCCTCCCAGACTATGGCAACCATGGGAACATGGGTCACTGTGGAGAAGACTGGGCAGTAGCCCAGGCCTGGAGTAAGTGAAAAAGCAATCTGTGTTGCCTGAAGTCCCTGAGATTTGGGTTCGTTGTTGTTGTTACCACAGCATAACCTAACCTATATTGCTATCTGAAACCACTTCATTGCTTATGCTCCTGCCGGTGAGGCTTACCTGGGTCTTTGACACAGTTCTGACCAAGGGGAGGAAGTAAGAGAGAACTGCTTGTGGAAGGGGGTGGTGTTAGGGAGTGCTGTTAAAAAGAATCACAGGAAGAGACATTCCTGCTCAATCTACTGGGCATTGCTTTCATGTCAGGAACTGTGGCAGCCATCTCATAACCAGGTTGGGCACCAGCTGAGGACAAAGTCATCTTACCGATATTGGCCTAACTGAATGACAGAAAGAATGTTCCTTGAGTTCCTGAATTCACCAGCCCTAGAACCAAAATCAACTGACCTCAGGATTTCTTCTTACATAATATTTTATATAGACATATAAATAAGATGATATGTATACAATAATATTTCTGTATATCTTATACAGATAAATTTTATGTATTTTATATATAAATTTTATACATATAACATTTCTTATGGAAAAAATCCTGAGGTAACATGGTTTTATATACATATATATACTACATATACACACAATTATATCTTTATATATTTTCCTTTTGTTTAAGCCAGAATTAATCTTATTAAAAACAATATGTGTGACTAAAATCATCCTGACTGAGACATGTGTGGCCAGCTCACAGTGGAGCCCTGAATTCCCAGTGTTCCGAACCCATCTTAACACAGATGTGGGTGGAGTAAGTTGGAAAGCAGCGTATTTGGTTTATGACTTTTTGCATCTGGGCTTCTTTGGGTCTCAGATCCAAATCCCAAGTGCCTATTAGAATGAGCTTGACCCAGCCCTAACCTCAAGATCTCTGAGGATGAGAAATCATTCCAGCTAGGCTAAGCAGCTGCCTCTCTAAGGATATGCATAGAAACATACAGACATGAGACATTTATTTATGTCACACATTCACACAGTGACAATTAATTTGACCAAGTGAAGTACATGGCAAGTGGTACCATCAGCTCTGTGCTGGTTACAAGGCCCAATTTGCTCCTCTATTGCAGAAAACAGGCAGACGCCTTCACTTTGGTTTCTCTTCTTTGCCCTTGATGGACTGCTAGGTGGACTTATTCATGAGTTATGACTTAGAGATACAAAGTCTCTTGTTAAGTTTCCAAGGACAAAATTCCAAATAGATTGTGTGACCAGTTTCCTCATTTACTCTCCAGTGATGTGACAAGACTGGGATGAATCTGGCATTATGGCGTGTGTGCTTTCCCAGGAATGCTGCAATGACAGGCGCTCCGTAATTGCCTGTTGTTTTGGAGGTGCATAATGCATAAAATGCCAGAGAAATATAAAAAGGATTTGCCTATTTTCTGCTTTTCTATGTATAATTTTCATACTATTGTGTGCCATATTCTCAGAAAGAAAAAAAAGTTTTATTTACTTTTCATTCCCTGAATGCACTTAATTTTACTCTTTATATTGCCATACTGTGTGCAGAGTGAGTATTTTTCAGTGACAGTGTAGTGTCCCTCTTTTCAAACTTTGGAATGTGTGCTTTTCAGCCAACCACATAATAGGTATAAGAACACGCATTTTAAATGCTAGCTGTTTTCTTCCCCTAGACTAGTGAAGGGGAAGACCAAACTGTTTTCATCAGAAGTTTCATTCAAAAGCATGAAAAACTGCAAGTGACAGCTGAGCAGATTCAGTGGAAGTGACGTTTTTGAATTTCTTCGACTTGACAAGTAAACACCTTAAATCGGTAATGCTATATGCATAATACATGGCCTGTATTTTGACATCCATCATCAAATGCTGACTTGAGAAAATATGGGTTTGTACGTCAAGGAATAGCACCCATAAAACAGGGAGAAATGCAGGTCACACGGTATTAGGAAAACTGTATTTCATTACAGAACCTGCAACAAGCCAAAGTGTCCTTTTATTTTATCTTATTTAAAAATTCCATTTTCAGCTGTGAAAAGTCTCAATTCCTTTGCATGAAACCTTCATTTAGAAATGACATGCTTGCTTCAGAGGCCTCTTTTATTTTGCTTTCATATTCCATTTTCCCTTCCAGTCACCAAGCCTGACTCCATTAGCATCTGCAAACTGACAAACTGTAGTGGGTGTCCAAGGACATCGCTCCATTAAAGGTCCTTCTCTCTCCTATACGTGACCCCAAGAACAGGGTGCTTTTGTTGGCAAGAAAACTTCAGCAACTATAATGTCTCTTTCCCTTTTGATACTTATCTAGTCACACATTTTTTAAAGGCAAAAAGAAAGACTGAAGAAATAAACTCTATCTTTTTCCCCTCTGGTGTAGAGGGCTGTTAAAGATGAACAGAATTTATTTTCATTTTTAAAGAACTTTTATGAGTTAATTTGAACCAAACTGAGGACAATTTCCAGGAAGAAAAATCTCAAGGGAATGAGGAAATGCTCCAGAGAATGGCAGTTTTGCACCTTATTTTATAGACTTCAATCAAAGGAAGAGACTTCCGCCAAGATGGAGAAGTAGGTGGAGGTTCCACCTCACCTCTGTGCACAACCAAATCTAAGAACAACTATTTTTAACAGCAGTCACAACCAAGCCACACGGAAAATCAACAATACGGAGTCCAAAGGACAACTAGATACTCGGCTGGACCGGTACAAGGAGCGAGGCCAGCAGCGGAGCAGGTTAGCAAGAAAAAATTCCCGGGGCGGTGCGCGGTGCGCGCAGGCAACCGAGGGCCCTGATCGCCAGCGAGCTGGCTGCCGGAGCGCACAGGGAAGAGGCGCGGTGGCTCGGTCGGTCGCGCGCATTTACGTGCAGAGAAACCAGTGAGAAGGGAAACCCGCGCGGTGCAGCAGGCTCGCAAAATTAGGATCGGATAAGCAAGCCCGAGGCGTTTGAGTGACTGGATGCGCTGGGCTAGCGGAGAGGAACGCCATTGCTCCCTCTCTGACCCCGCCCACACACACACAGCGTCACAAACCAGCGACCTGGGTCGCCCCGTCCTGGTAAACAACTAAGGCTTCGCTCCGCTCACTTAACAGCACGAATAGACCAAAAATGGCTCTAGGACAACTCAGAGCCCCAGAACCGATAGACCTAAGTGATGAAGAAATAGCCAGTCTTTCAGATGCACAGTTCAAAACACTGGTTATAAAGATCCTTACAGAACTGGTGGATTTTAGTCACAAATTAGAGAAACATATGGAAGCTAAATTAATTGAAATGAATGCTGATACAAAAGATACCAATAGTAATGGAAAGAAAATTGGGATTCAAATCAAGGGAGAGGACCAGACGGAAGAAAAAAATGATCAAACAGAAAGGAATGAAGAAATAAGAATTCAGAAAAATGAGGAGAAGCTTAGGAACCTCCAGGACATCTTTAAACGTTCCAACATCCGAATTATAGGGGTACCAGAAGGGGGAAAGGCACAACCACCAGTTGAAAAATTATTTGAACAAATAATAAAGGAGAATTTCCCCAAGATGGCAAAGGAAATAGACTTCCGAGAAATCCAGGAAGCTCAGAGAGTCCCAAAGAAGTTGGACCCAAGAAGGAACACACCAAGGCACATCATAATTACATTAGCCAAGATTAAAATGAAGGAGAGAATCCTAGAAGCAGCAAGGGCTAAGGGGACAGTCACCTACAAAGGAGTTCCCATCAGACTGTCAGCTGATTTCTCAAAAGAGACCTTACAGGCAAGAAGGGGCTGGACAGAGGTATTCCAAGTCATGAAAACCAAAGATCTACAACCAAGATTGCTCTACCCAGCAAAACTTTCATTTAGAATGGAAGGACAGATAAAGTGCTTCTCAGATAAGACCAAATTCAAGGAGTTCATCATCACCAAGCCCTTACTATATGAAATGTTAAAGGGACTTACCTAAGAAAAAGAAGATAAAAAAGATGAACAGTGAAAGGACAGCAAACTCACAGTTATTAAGAACCACACCTAAAACAAAAGCAAACTAAGAGGATAGCTAGATCAGGAGCAGAACCATAGAAATGAAGATCTCATGGAGGGTTACCAACAGGGGAGTGGGAGGAGGGGAAAGGGGGAGAAGGTACAGAAAATAAGTAGTATAGACAGTAGATAGAAAATAGATAGGGGGAGGGTAAGAATAGTAGGGGAAATACAGAATCTAAAGAATTTGAGACACATGTTCATGAACTAAAGGGGGAAATGGTGGGGGAGGGGTATGCAGGGTGGAGGGGAAAGGAGGGGGGAATAGAGCAAATGTAATGGCATAATCAATAAAAAAAAAGAATAAAAAAAAATCAAAGGAAGAAGCACAGGGAGTTACATGAAGTTGATTGGTGATAGATAAGGGAAGCAGGAAAATCTCTGGGACTGGATAAAGAGTAAAATGAGGAGACAAACGCATACTTCTTTTACACTGGTGCATAGAGGATAGTTAACAGATAACATTTATAGCACATAATGAAGGTATGTGGGGGAA